CAACAATAGCAACACCTACTGATGGGATCACAGGTTAGGCTAACAGCGGTGTATGAAGCCCCTCAACCTATGGGAAAAGCCACTGTGGTCGATGCGTGACATTCATTCGAAGATTTTTGTAGTTACGCGTGCTCTACCAAAGACCTTTGACGTAATTAATGCTGTAAGACTACCAAGCACTGCCTCCACAAGAATGCGCTACTGCATCATCCTTCTGTGCTAGTATTTGAACTGTCCCAGGAGCGCAATGTCCTCGTGGAGGCTATTGTCCTGCTGGAGCTGACAGAGTGACCCCGTGCCCTGCTGGGTATTACAATCCACGAGCTGGAGGGGGGTCCCCCTCTGCTTGCATTGAATGCCCGCCTGGCTTATACTGTGACGGCACAGTGGTTAGCGAGGGAGGCATTACGGGCCCGTGCAAAGAGGGCTACTACTGCGAGGCAGGCTCAGCAACGGCAACAGCCAGTGAAGCCCCAAAGGGTTCATATGCTCCAGAAGGAAGCAGTACCTATCTCCTCTGCAATCCAGGGACATTCCAGAACGAAACTGGCAGTGCAAGCTGTCTGCCGTGTTTGGCAGGAACGTTCTGCCAGAGATTGGTGAGTCCTAGACACTTGAATGGCCTCCTGCGGTGCTCTTGAACTACTCAGAGGATATTTCAGCGCCTTTCGAGAGACGGATCAACAATTCCCTTATCTAATTACGATGTGGCATTTGTCTGGGACGAAACGTTAAGAAAGCCGCTTTGTTCCCACCAAAATAATTCCTTTTCCAACGTCTTTTTTATAGTGTCGATGATGCACAAGTAATTACCGTTTAGGGCGAATTTAGTGGAATGTAGCTTTAAATTACTAAGAAATATATATCTGATGGAAACCAGGACTTCTTAGCGTTCATCATGCTGCGATCAAACGATCATGTTCATTAGCAAGCCGTACGTGTTTCCCAGGGTATGACAGAGGGAACGGAGTGTCCAGAAGCATCATACTGCCCTGCAGGAAGTGCAAGCCCGAAACTGTGTCCACCAGGAACATTTTCGAACAAGAAGAACTTGCAATCAGATTCTGAATGCACGCTGTGCACTGAAGGAATGTATTGTGGAGACTATGGCCTTAAAGAACCATCTGGGAAATGCCAGGCAGGATTTTACTGCGGAGGTGGCAGTGCCTCGTCAGCTCCACAGGTTGGTATTCATCGTTGCTAGCACTTACCAGAAGCCTCTAGGAAGCCCGGAAGCGCAATGGTCTGGCATCTACTCCAAAACGCGTTTCCGTAATCCGACGCATCTGTCTTCAGGAAACTTCCGGGAATAATCAAGTCTGCCCAGCAGGCCATTACTGTCCCGCAGGATCTTCCAAGCCTACGCCATGTCCAATTGGAACATATTCCCCTTCTAAACAGGCAATCAGTGAAGCAATGTGCCTACCTTGTGATCCTGGAATGTACGTTTTACTGAATCTGCCCATAAAAAAAGAAGCTATAGTCGCCAGTGCCTTGCCGGCTGCCTGGTTCTTGGCTGCGCAACTACCGTAATTCTGGTTGCGTTGTGGCATAGGACATGTTCCGAAACTGGGCAGTCTGCACCAAAAGAACGCTGCCCTGGCGGATCGTACTGTCCAGCCGGTACAAAGGCCTGCACAACAGAGAAACCACGCAACCAATAGTCCCAAAAGCATTTTGAAGACTAGTAAGGTGTAAAGAAAACTGGCGCCTTTCGTTGAACACAAAGCAGTTGCTGATGGGTTGTGTACTTCAGGAGGTAGCCCAACACCTTGCACAAAAGGCCACGAATGTCCTGATGGATCTGCTGCACCGACTCCCTGCAAGCCGGTGAGAACAAGCAACGGCGCTGAGGGAACTACACTGTTCGTCACAAGTGGGACATGCAGATTGTAGGACTTACTTCTCTAAACTGTGGCATTCAGGGAACGTACGCAGCCACGACGGGACTTACTGAGTGCAAAGAGTGTCCGGAAGGCTTCTTCTGCAGCGATGCAAGCAAAGAGCCGACGGACAGCGAAAAATGCCCTGCTGGATATTTCTGCCCGAAGGGCACTGCGTCTTCCGACGAAAATGCCTGCCCGCAGGGTACGATTTTTCTAAGAGGCATCGCTTTGCGATGGCTGGTCAGCGACTAAACAATTCGGAAAACTTTGCAGCTCTACCACGGAACATCGATCAAAAGCTTTGCAAAATTCGCATTTTGTACTCAGACAGCCTGTCCCAAGAGTTCAAGCAAGTGAAAAATAATCGATGTGCCCCAGTCAGTACTGTTCTGCTGTGGCATTTATTGACAGGTACATTCAACAGTGAACAAGGCGCAACATCTCTAGATGCGTGCAAGCCTTGCACAGCGGGTAAATATTGCAGGGATCCAGGTTCCTCTGTGGAATCTGGAAGCATTGAAGGGGGATACTACAGTGCGAGTGGCGCAATATCTCCCAAACCAGTCGCAGGTAAAAACTGGAGCTTCTCGATAGTGCGTCAACGCGTAGCATTTGTGGCTTCGCTGTGGCTTTACCGGAGTGACACAGGAACACTTATTCTGGGATTTATTTTTGTGAATCAGAGTGCAGGCTACTGGCAGCCGTTCTTGGTGTGCAGACCACACCGTGTCCAGGATTCGAAGCCCCGATAAGCACTCTCTCTGAAGCTGCAAGTACATGCTTAAAAAGTGAAGACTGCCAAGGGGTGGTCGAGACAACCGAAAGTACATTTTTCCTCAGGTGAGAATCAACCTACTTCCTTCCCCTGCTGTGCATTCGCACACATTTTTGCGTGAAGCGGTTTCTAAAAGGCCACATATAGGGAGATCTTGCAGGCCTTCTAGATTGACTCTCTAGCTGAAAATTCAGTTGCCCGTTGCAATTTTGCCATCAAGATCAAACCGCTTCGTGAAGAGCCATGCCCAATATTGCGGCATCAGAATATTCACACAAAGATTCAACTTTTTACTCTCTGACACTGCCGCTCTTACAGGTGTGGAGACTATAGCAGGTCTTCCACTGAAAAAGAAAACTTTTTCTATCCGAAGCATTGCACCATCGCGGGCATTTGCGAACCAGGAACATACTGTCCAGAAGGATCCACAGAGCCCAAAACGTGCCCACAAGGGCAATACTGCGCGGCTTACGGCCTCGCAAGCCCTTCTGGAAACTGTGAGGCAGGGTACCTCTGTCCAGAAGGTTAGTCAAGTTTTCGATTCAGTTGGACACTCCTGCGCTTTGTGAGACGATGCACAAGTGTCTGACGCAGGCTTGTGATTGAGAAGCTTCTTCAAATAAAATTCGCATCTGGCTTTCTTTGCGACAGGCTCCTCAAGTCCACATCCTGTCTCAGCTTTGTGCACCCCAGGGCATTACTGCCCAGAAAATGCAACTGCAGCCCAACCTTGCCCACGAGGAAAAATTCTAAGTGGCTCGTGAGCTGCACACTGCATACACAAATAAGAATCAGCCTGCGGAAAGCAGGCTTAGGCCTTCTCGTGTAGAGGAAGATGGTGTGTGCGCTGTTGCATTTGCAGTGGTGGCTCCTCAGACAAAGACTGCTTACCATGCCCAGCTGGATTCTTTTGCGACAAGGAAGGACTTTCCGACCCAGCAGGCCCTTGTCCAGAAGGTGAATTTTCTGCCTAATTTCGAAATGGTTTCTGGGGAAGGATCGTCATGCGGTGACTTGGCGAGCCGAACATTGCATTATTAGGTGAAGTTGCCGTGTGTGGTACATGTGCTTCCAAACTAAATCTTTTCAAGCCAAAATGCCTCTACGGGAACCCAATAATATGGCAAATAATCGCTGCTCAAAGATGAACACTCCTCTTCTGGCAAACGTCGCTCGTTCCATCATTACAGTGACAAAGTCCGGGATGCTGCTCAATTCAGGAAAATTTTGCCCTGAGGGCACCGCAAGCCCGGATGATGCTACGGAGTGCACTGCTGGCCATATGTGCCCTGAAGGCAGTGCATCTCCTATGCTCTGCCCTCAGGGCACCAAACAGCCAAGCACAGGGCAAGCAAACTGCATCAAATGTACAGTTGGTACGATCAATACTTCGGCACTCGGAACCCTGGCAGCGGCAGGAGAAAAGTTGAGGCAGGGGAAAATTAGGACTGTTTCGATGGCATTGATTGTATAGATGTACAAAAACGCCTCCACAACAGAATCAGGCTACAGGAAGATGCCTTGTGTCCAGAAATGTTTGGTGAGGCTTCTCTCAGGAGAGATTTGCGGTGGAGGCAGTGTAGAAGGTTTAGAATGCCCAGCTGGCTTCACCTGCCCAGAGGGTACAGTCGTCCAAACATCATTTCCCTGTCCTGTCGGGACATACTCGAAAGAAGCCAATAATTGTCTTACCTGCCCGGAAGGATTTTACTGCGATACTCCAGGAGCCACGGCACCTGCAGGAAAGTGCAAGCCGGGTGAGCACAGGAAAGCGTGTAAGAATCACGCTTTACTTCTTACGCCTGCCTTCAAGCTCTGATTTTGGTTACTGCAAGATTTGCCATTTCTCCGTGCACCTTTAGGCTATTATTGCCCTCCTGGAACTATGTGGCAAGAGCCTACAACATTCTGCAAACACGGACAGTTTTGCCCCCCTGGGTCGAAAGCTCCTCAAGATTGCCCAGCAAATCATTTCTGCAATACTGTTAAGCTTGGAGAGCCTTCGGGTCCATGCAGAGGTGGTTTCATTTGCAGTGCAAGGTGCACGACCCCCAAGCCGACTCAGGAACAGAACGGCTCAGCATGTGATGAAAACATGACCGGAAGGCCGTGTAGCAAAGGCCATTACTGCCCTAGGCGTGAGCTGGAAGAGCTCTATGACTGATTTGATTTTGCTCAGAAGGCAATAGTTGGTCATTATATCAACGAAACACGGTAAAAATGCACGTTATACAAAGTAAATGTGTCCCGGTTATACTGCAGCTGAGTCTCCCCTGGTGGCGGGAACAGGTTTTCCGGGCAGTGGCGGCGATGGACTTCCTGGACCAGAGACCCTCCTAATGCTTCCTACGAATGCTGTTATGGATTCAAGTACAGGCGATATTTACATTGCAGATTACGGTAACTACGCCGTGAAGGTAGTCTACGGAAACACAGGTATGCGGAAGGTGACTAAAGACCTGATCAACCAGAAAAGCGTTCAGTTTTTGACATCCAGCTCTTGAAAGGCCCAGAAGTCCACTTGTTGACTGACAGGTAACGTCGAGACGCTTGTTTCCGCGTCGTCCGTAAGTGGAACACTCAGCTGGATCCGGACTTTTGGCCCAGTAGGCGTTGCTTTCTGTTCGACTACGAAGAAGCTGTATATCTCTTACCCGGGTTAGTTTTTGTTCTGGCATTCGGCGTGTTGCTCCTCCTTTCATATGCAGTGGCATCTCATTTCGTGTCCAAGGTGGGCTAATCAAACAAAATCGTTGTGTATCTCTATGATATTCTGTAGGTAGAAACGCCATTCTCGAGCACGATGTATCATCTCGCTCCTCCAAGTTGGTGAGCGAAGTAAGCACTGATCTCTCGAAGCCACTGGGTCTGGAGACTGATGAGGATTGCAACAGTCTCTACATTGCAGACAGTGCTAATCACCGTGTGCTCAAGTATGCCTTCGGTGCAACCCCAGCCATTACAACAGTTATTGGAACAGGCGCTCCAGGTGAGTTTTTCCCTCTCTACACAGGAAAGCAGAATGGCCTGCATTTGTGTCATTAAATCTTCAAGTGGTAATTCCTAGGCTGTCCTACCGCTGGTTTTAGGGAAAAGTGATTCGAGTGCAACCGCCACCACCTTCCAGATTGATTCGCCTTCTGCTGTGGCGTTAAACGGCGATATTCTCTACGTCGTGGATTCCGGAAATAAACGTGTAAGTTTTAGCCGAAATTCAGGGTACTCGGTCGTAAATGATGAGTTCAAAGGCAAATTTTGTGGGGCACCTTAACAAACGCCTCCACCGGTCTCGGTTCCGTGAAAGAGGCAACGTTCCAGTGAATTGGGTGTTTCTATTAATAGGTTTTGGCAGTGAATCTGGTAGATCAGTCTGTCGAGATATTTGACGGAAGCGCTGCAGACTCCTCAATTGTCTTTGAACGGCCAGTGTCAGCAGCTATCGCACAAACAGAGGTATGTATAAAACCTGAACCAAGCCTTACCATTATGCGGCTAATTACTCCAAAGATGTGGATATATGAATCTGAAGATGTGCCTGACGCGCAGGATGGCGAAGTTCTGGTCGTTGCTGATGCCGCTTCTCGAGCGTGAGTTTAACGAACAGACGACGATGATGACAGAGTCAAAGAATTTCGTTTGGCCCATGCATGCACTGTACGAAACTTTACAAAATCTTTACAAAAAAATGTAGCCATTCATGGCTTGTCTGGGTTTTTGAAGCTTGCGCAAGATTGACCTTCAAACAAAGACTGCAGCACTGCTTGTGGATTACACCGCCTGGAGGTCTTTCGTGGTAGAGGAGGCAGAAACAAGCATTGCCGCGACAGGACTGGAACACGCATTTTATGGTGTCAGTAGCTTTTTTGGGGTAAGGCCAACCAGTGCCCCGGAGTGAATTTCGATGTACAGTCATCGATGTTACGGATAAATAATTACCCGGCGGTGTTTACGGACGAATGTGTGTGGCATTCTAGAAGGACAAAAAACGAACGGGCGTGCTTCTGGCTGACAGCTATTCCCACCGCATTCGCCGCGTTGAGCTTGAAACAGATCTTTATTCAATTCCTCCTGTGACTGAAGTCCCTTGTCCTGTTGGTACGATCCGAATCAACGGTTCTAACTTTGCGGCCTTCATTGCGACCTGGATGTTATATGAACACACTTTAGCTCAGCGGCACATTTTCTTAGTGTAATTTACTAATGAACACCCAAGCCTTCTGTGGCTCACTTGTTTTCCTTTGCAGGAACATACCTACCATACACTGGAGCAGCCTCAGAGGATGACTGTATGAAATGCCCCTTTGGGATGTACTGCAGTGCTAAAGGACTCACTGAACCAGAAGGACCTTGCAACGAGGGTTACTACTGCCCACAAGGGTCGACTTCTCCAACGCAAGAGAAGTGCCAGGCAGGCAATTTCTGCTCCTCTCATTCAGGTACCACCAGCATTCAATTGTATTTAACCATCATACCAGCAGGCCGATGTACGACACATGCACGATGCTGCCGACCCTCTGTACGAAAACTATGATGATCTTAGGATTGTGGTGGACTTTCATCTATTTACAGGTTCAATTACTATTGTAACAACACGCAGTCGTACGAGCCGCCCACCATTGCTACGCGACGCTACAACTGACTTAGAAAGGTCTGATAATGCTGAAAGAGGTGTTTCGGGCTGGTTTAGGCGTCTTCCCAGCAGTGCTCACTGCAACAAATCGACGAGGCGCCGAACTCGATTCGCGGAGGGACAAGAAGAGGAGGATATTTTCTTAATTGATTTGGATGAGCCCAAGGACTTACTTGGCATTGACATCCAGCTCGAGGGAAACCAAAGCGCTGCGGTCAGATGATATTTTCAGCGAGTTCTCTTCTAAGATCATTACAAAAGGGGCTATTTGCAACCACTAGCTTGTATTTAACAGTTACAGGAACAGAAGCCTCGATTTGGCGGCAAAGCGCATCACTTGCGTGCTAAGCTAGGGTGGTTTCGTCCTGTGTAGTTTTGTCAGCCATTGGGACCCAACAGTTTATTCTCTTATGAGACGCAGGCACTGCTGGGAGTGGACATAAGGCAAGAAAAAACATGTTTTACTGCATGCGGTAGTGGAAGGCCAGCGTGGTCCAGAATGCATGCTTTTACCTCTGGGAAGACGCGCATTCCTTTTCGCAACAGAGCACAGCAAGCAATTAGAGTGTCCAGCAATGCGGAGGATCTGAAAGGAATAAAGTCTATCTTGCTACGCTTTGCGGCTGGAACGCAACCCGCCAGGGCTTCCGTTTCACTAGCTACTACCGAGACGAGAGGTGTGAACAATGCGAACATTCATCAAGATATGCGACAATCATGATACTTTTGCTGCTAGTCGAAAATGTGCAGATTGCGAAGCTGTAAAACGTTAATTGCTGTTGGAAATATCGTCACCTCGCTGCAAGCGAATCATGCAATTACCTCTAGCGATGTGGGGGACCTTGGGAAGCGGAAATCGACGGGTGAATTTTCTTGTATTATCGCTGGCTCTTACCGGAATTGATACTGAACGGGAATGCAGCCTGTTTCTTGTGCTCCTCTCCTAGGCCCCGTTGCACAAAAGCAATGTCCGCCGGGGACGTATCAGCCAAACGAGGGAGCAACGGGTTGCGAAGCGTGCCCGGCCGGGTCCTACTGTGATGAATTCGGTCTCGCAAAGGCAAAAGAATGTCCCGCTGGCTTTCTTTGTCCTGAGGGCTCGATCACAGGCAAATCTCACTACTGCAAAATTGGCTCAATATCTACTCAAGCAGGTGCTTCGACGGAAGAATCGTGCGTGCCCTGCGAAGCGAGCAAGTTCTGTGGAGAAATAGGAGCTATAAAGGAGACAGGGGAATGCGCAGCCGTAAGTACCAGTCACACACCACGAAGAAATGGCACTGCAACTTCTGCTGACTAGTTAAAATTGTCTGTTTATTGCCTTTCAGCAGATGTATGGTGCGGCTTTCAATTGGATTTAGGGTTACTACTGCAAAGCAGGGTCGTGGACCGCCACACCAGTGGTTGGCATTGTACATCCAGACACTGGCAAAGTATCTGACATCGGGGATATCTGTCCTAAAAACCATTACTGCCCCGCTGGGTCTTCTACTCCAACTCCATGCCCTGCGTAAGCTCAGCCACGCTGGACCCTGTGGTGTTCGCCACTCTTCATTTTTTGTTAAAGAATGCGCCTCAAAACATTCGTATGCTTTTAACCTCCAGCTGCAACTTAAACGTTTCACTGCGCTCGTGAGCGCAGTATCCGCGTGGTGGCACCTCACAGCGAGTACAATGACATTTCTACTCCGCTGGGCAAGTTGCATGTACACTTATGAAAGCCTTGCATGGCACTTAGAGAAAGGGAAAAGCGCGTGCTGGAATGTACACTTTGTGCAGCATCATATGAAACTCCAGTCCACTTTGTACGCGCCTTGTCTGCAGAGGAACCTTCTCGCAGACATCGGGAGTAACGTCGCTTGACGGTTGTTTCAAATGCTCTCCAGGATTTGCATGCATCAGCGAGGGTGTGCAGGTTCCATGTGGGGAGGGCTACGTTTGTCTCGAGGGCTCAAATACGACCACCCCGACGGACAACGTTATGGGTTACGCATGTCCAGCAGGAAGTTACTGTACTGAAGGCTCGTTCGCGGAGAAGGTGAATCTAATGATACGCGAGCAGCAGTTTGCGCTAGCAGCTGGTTATGTTTTGTAGCTTATTGCCCAGAGCAATATGTGAGATTATTTAAGTAAAATCTGTGTACATAACAAAAATACTATTTGAGCTAGGTTTTGAGCTGATCATTGGTTTGCGCAAACTTCGCGGATTTTGTCTATTCCTTCTGCGAGCGAATCGAAAATTTAGTTCGTCATTCTCCTTCTAATTTAATTTCGTTGTCGTCCTCCTCAGCTGTGTCCAGCTGGCACATTTAGCCTTCAAGGCCAAGCTTCCTGCACCCCATGCAGCGCCGGCAAGTACTGCTTTGATCCAGGAAACTCAAATGATGGTCAGCCGTGCCCAGCGGGACATTATTGCGGGGAACAAACTATAGTACCACAGCCGTGCCCCCCTGGAACCTTTCAAGATAAGACGGGACAAACGTCATGCAAGCCGTGCTCACGGGGGAAGTACTGCCCTAGCTACAGGGCAACGGGACCCGCCGGAAATTGCTATGAAGGAACTCTCTGTGTAGAAGGCGCCACACACCCTCGCGTCACCGACCGTGTATACAGCTTTGAGGACGAAGTAAATGGACTCTGCCCCGCAGGTCACTTTTGTAAAGAAGGAGCACTGAAGCCAGAACCCTGTCCAGAAGGGGAATACCAGGTATGATCCTGTGATCATTGGAGCCAAGGCCTGTCGGCGAGTGCTACCAGCGGTTGGCTTTAGCACGTCGTTCCTTTCCTTTGTCCTCATTGTCGGTCCTGGCTAGCATGCTTTGCGTTGCCGCAGGACAAAGCCGGAGCCAAGTCCTGCATAAAATGCCCAGAGGGGAAGTACTGCGCTGGAACAGGAAATACAGCTCCTACAGGAAACTGCGCCCCCGGATACGTTTGCTACAAAGGGTCAACGAGTAGGGAGCCCCAAGATGGTACTACAGGCGCTATCTGCCCCAAAGGCATGTTTTGCGAAGAGGGAGCAACACACCCTACTCCATGCGCACCAGGCACATACACTAACGCATCAGGTCAACACACCTGTCTACCCTGCCCAGAAGGGTTTTACTGCGATAAGGCAGGAGAGGATCCCAAAAAGTGCCCGGAAAAGAAAGTAAATTTTGCTATGCAGCTGTGTGAAACCTAAGGAACTTATGAAGAGAGCAACGAAGCTAAGCCAATGACCCAGGCCAGCAGCGTGCAGGCTAAAAAGCGTGCGCTTTCAAGCTTCTCACAGAAGTTGTTTTGGATGTGAATGTGGTCTGCAGGTGTGCGCTGAAGGCAGCGCTCGACCGGGCTTGTGCCCACTTGGCTCCATCCCAAATACAAAGGCTGATGCTGTCGACGTCTGTGTTCCATGCCCACAAGGCAAGTATTGTAGAGGAGCAGTCGTTGCAGGAGACTGCCTTCCAGGGTACGTTTTGGCTTGGAGAAGCACTGAACTTTACAGTGGCCACTGAATTGACCTGTGGCGCTTTTAATCTGCTCAAAAGGGATAAGGTTTATGAAGTAGGAACGATAGTGGTCTCTGCGAACTTGCTTGCACAGGTTTTTCTGCGGCCTAGGTAACTGGGTACCGAACCCGTGGATGGAACAAGCTCAAAATGAGCCATTTGTACCAGAGAGCGCTATAGCGGCAGGTGGAGTTACATTGTTGACTTTGGAGAACTGGGAAACTGTAAAGACAACCGGTTATGGGGGTATTCCTTGTCCGGCAGGGCATTACTGTCCAGCAGGTGCCTCAGAACCCAAACCCTGTCCCACTGGGAGCGTCAGGCAGGAGACCCTGGGCCGGTGGGAGGCTGACTGCTCTCTCTGTCCAAGAGGGTATGTTAGACAGTCCCTGAGCCTTGCACTTTAAAATACAGATCCTTCGAACCAGGCATTCTAGTCGTCTACACGCTGAATCACACCTCCAGTATATTACGCTGTAGTAATTCTGCTCATTTACTATAACTTTGCTTCAACGTATTCTGCATGACTGTTCAGGTACTATTGCCCTGACCTCTCATTGGTCCCTGAGCCTTGCCCAGCTGGTCACTTCTGTCCTTTAGGATCTTTAGCGCCACGACCGTGTGTAGGAGGCACTTATAACCCGCACATTGAAGGCTCCAGCACATCGTCATGCCTCACATGCCTACCAGGATATTTGTGTCCTGGTGAAGGGAATGAAGAACTTGCAGTTGAGAATCAATGCCCTACTGGCCATTACTGCCTAGAAGGAAGTCAGCAAGGAATTCCGTGCCCACCTGGGACGTATGGAGATCTACCTGGACTATCAAGCGAAGATGGCTGCAAAGCTTGTCCAGGCAAGTGCCGACAAGAGCCCCTCCGTGTTCTCATAAACCAGTGGCGTTTCTTCATCGAATGCATACTCTTTATCATGTGCTATACGCGTGAGAGTACGTGCCCGAGAATTCATTCGCTGCTAGGCCTATATTCAAAAGGGAAGAGTACCATGAGAGGCATTCTTCAACGATAAACACGTCGAAAATTAACTTTCTTTTTCTAGGAAGAACTCTACCGGTTTTTTCTCTTGGGGACCCAGACCTTTTATTTTGCATTCGCACCAATCTGGACCGTTATTTGGATGTCTTGATGCGCAGCTGGGAAATTTTGTCCCGTGGAAGGTCTATCCGAGCCTGGAGATGTATGCCCAGAAGGGCATTACTGCCCATCAGGAACGGCCGTCCCACGAAAGTGCTTACAAGGGACGTGGTGCCCTGAAGCAAGCGGAGAGCCGCAACAGTGCCCTCCTGGCGCCATATGCCCAGCCGGATCAGCCATTCCTCAGCAATGTCCACAGGGCTCCTATTGCCCTCATGACCAATCTTTCCCCGTCGCGTGCCCAGCTGGCTACAAAGGCTCTGATGATAGATCTGACACAAGTTCACTAGAAACTGGATGCAGCTTATGCCCGCCGGTAAAGCCGTCAGCCTTCTTTTTTGCCGCGCATCGATCCAGGGCTAGGCAGCGTTAGTCCTTTCAAAAGACAAATGAGACCATGGAAACCTCGACAAAGAAGTAGTGCGTAATTTCTTTTGTTACTTTGCTCAGGGCACATATTCAAGCGAACCCGGTATGACGGAGTGCACAATGTGCACTCCAGGATATGTGTGTCTAGCAGGTTGCAGCTCCAGGTGAGGAGGAAAATCACTATACAGATGCACTGCCTACAACCATTCAACCCTGCCGCCATGGCGGTCAACACTTTAGGCTTCCCGCAAGCGCCAACTGAAGTGTGAAGATAAGCTCAGGATCATAGTAATTAAGTGAAAACAATATAAGGCTTGCATGATGGATATGCTTGCAGCATGCCGACAGACAAGGACAGGGACAAAGGTTATCGGTGTACCCCTGGAACATATTGCCCTGAAGGGTCCAGTAGTGAACAGATGTGTCCTGTAGGAACGTACGGGCTTCAAACTGCCGCAACAGGCATTGACGCATGTGCTCCTTGTCCAGTAAGCAGCATGGCTTCAGACTATCGCGTGGAAGCAGAAAGGCACCAAAACTCCCCTAAAGTGAAGGCTCACAGAAGCGAACCGGCGCTCACGGCATGCCTTCTATGTTGCAGTTAGGGACATACAATGATTTGGAGGGCCAAACAGGCTGCGTGCTGTGCGGAGCCACGGCAACGTCCAATTCAAACAGTACATCCTGCACTTGCAAGGGGACGAACAGGGCATTTCAGCTAGCTGATAGGTCATGCGTCTGCCTATCAGGATTTCATTATAAGCAAGGGAATGCAGACCTCAGCGATCAGGATGGGGTGGAGCCTTGTCAGCAGACGGTTAGCCAGGAATCACCAGCAATAATGTCCAAAGGAACGGGCTTGCTACCGGGTCTTTTTCACACACAAAAGGCTGCGCTTCTCCCAATTGTGTTGCCGTCCTTTTCCATCGTATTATCATATGGAAAATATTTATTCAAAGCATGCTCGTCCTCAATCTGGCTTGCTGTTCAGCTTTACCACCACTGCAACGCGGACTCTTCTCGAGACGCAACTGGAGCATGCGTATCCCCAGAAAGGGTCTGCTCTGATCAATGCGGGCCTGCTGGCGGCTCTTTCAGCACAATTTCAGGTTTGTGCTCCTGCAGCGGCGAAAAGTCTCTTGATGAGGTCTGCGACGAAGCGTGCAGGGAAACACGCCCTCAGCTGATCCTGAAGGAATCTACATTAATCGTAGACAATCCTGAAACGAGTGACGGTGATAAAGAGTTCGACCTAGAAGATCTCATTGAGCACACCGGGCTTGCTACCGGCTCTTACGATTGCACGGAGACTCAAGGCTGCACTGTTCGGATGTTTGATACAACGCTAGGTAGGCATCATGCATGAAGCGTTTCTGGCTTTTTTGTTTTCATCCAAATTTCCTAGCATGCTTTAGCATGCTTTAGCTGCAGGACCTGGAGTGTGCCTTTAACATCTGCTTGCCTCTCGGTTTATGAAGACGTAAATCTTCTGCTATACGCAATCCCCTTCAGCCTCCGGCTCTGCAGCTGCCAACACTTATGCGTGTGAGCGTGTGGGGCCTTGCCTCAGCGAAAATGACAGGTCTCGTGGGAGTTCCGCAGAGCTTTGTCGACGAATTAACTGAACGGTTACAGGACTATGGCATCGTGCCCGAAGCACCAGATAGTAATGCTTCTCAGACAATTAAAACACGCCGCTTATCTGGTGCTGTAGACTTCGGCTATTTTGGCGTATCCGACCCGATCCAGTGCCTGCCACTCGGCTCAACTGTGGCATGGCACATTCGCCCGAGTCCCAATCCCATTTACCCAGTGTACCTTCGAAATAACTTACTCAATACAAACAAGCAATTCGACTATGGGGCCTTCAGGTGGGGGGGGGAATTTTACTTGTCTGCTGCTGGAAAGTCCATAAGCGTCTAACGCTTTTGGCCTTTCATCTGAGACTAAGTTAATTTGAACACTTGCTGAGCTTTTGGTTCACAGGGACCTTGATACTGACATGAAAGGAGGAGAGCAGAGAGTTCTTTTCATATTCACGTTCAAGGAGCCAGGGCTTTATGTATTTGGTCTTAATACTGACCCAAACAAATTCATGGTCTTGCGTGTCATGGAGGCTAGGCGCCTTTGCAGGGATTCAGCGCTGCTACCCCAACTGAGGACTGCTGAGACTTTGGCTGCAGTCGCAGCACGGCTCCCGAGCACCGTTGAAACAGCTGCGTGGACGTTGTTTGTGATAGTTGTTGTGGGAATAATTGTGGTGGCGGTACTTGTATTCCTTGCTGCCTGGACATTTAAACACCAGAGGCTGGAGAGCCTCGAAGCAGATCCAAAGTCAAAATACAATCAGCCGCCGCCCAAACATACTTCAGAGTGAGCTGTAGATCGGCATTAACAGTCTGTTGACGCACTTAATTCTAGGATCGGAGCTCCATCACGTCTAAACTCGGAGCTTAATCACGCTTTCAACGACTGAGGCATGCGAACAGGAAGGATGAGCGTGCAGAAGTTGAAGAACTTGTACTTCAAACCCAGGCAAAGGTTCCCTTGGAGGAGGATCCTGGAGTTTTGAGAGCAAGACGTGCTCTAGCGAAAAAGCTGGAAACGCAAGACCCCAGGTTATTTGTTGCCGTCCTAAACTTGACGAAGCAAATTAAACAAGACGCCGAGGAACGATGCACACGCATAGTGGCTGAACGCAGTGAAGGCCTGTCACAGCTTCTAGACCTGACGCGAAAGTTAAGGCAAGAGCTAGCGGACCAACTACATGATGCAGCCGCCTCAGAAGTAAGTGCTCCGCTAATACGGTGAAAAATTTTTCGAGGAAAGATACCATCCACTGAATTACGTATTACCGCAAAGAGACGGGGTTCACTTTAAACAAGCACCATTGAGTTTTGCAAATATTTTAAAACTTGAAGCTACCATGCAGTGGGCCATTCCTGACAAACTACCTAACTATGATAGCAGGGCTGTTCAACTTTTTTTTTGCCATGTATCATCAGATCTGGAGCAAAGAAAATGACGAAGAACGTGAAGAGATTCTTTCTACATTGCTTAGCCTTTTACGACTGAGAAGGAGAGACCTTGTCAACAAGCTTGCGCTTGCAGAAAAGGAGCACGAGGAGGTTCGTTTTGCGGCGTATAGAAGTGACTTCGACAAACTCGTACTAGCGCTTTCTCCTGAACAACGGCATAACTGAAGGCCTAATGGTACACACGCTGGCTCTTTGCAGGAAGCAGCCCTAAAGGAGAAAGAAGAGCAGCTCCTCCTCCTGCGGTCACGAAATGACTCCTTAATTTCGAGTACGATTCTTCCAGCCGTTGGTGAAAAGAGACAGGTGCAAATGTCATCAATTAAGCTTTCAGTGGAAGCGCAAATCGAAGGTCTTCTTGAGGAATTCAGGAAGGCTCGAGCCGATGCAGACGACGACATGCCTTCAATAATCGAGCTCTACAAGGCTAAGATGAAAACAATTTTCGAGGAAGTAAGGCTCTCCGCTCGCCCTACCTACATGTTGACTGCACAATTGAAATGTCACAGAAGTTCGCATCGCCACCGATATGCCCGCCCAAGCCTACACACACGCTCCTCTTGTGTCGTCGCCCGCAGGCACAAGGTGAAACAAAACTTGCATTCAGGAACATGCTTTCTGCAGACATCGAGGAACGAGTAAGAAATGGCGTAACCCTCCTCAGCTCCCATTTACAGCTGCTTGAGGCCATGACATCTGGTAATGCTGTCGCATCTTATGTAGTTGCCTTTCTTTGCTCGCAGCTTATGACGGGCAGTCTACAGTTAGACCTAAATGAAGCAAAGAACAATTTAAGGGCATGTGAAGATGACGCTGACGAGCGAAAGGCTCTTGGAGCATACCGCACCGTGGGTCACCTTAGTTTTGTCGCCACTGTGTAGAGCCGGCGTTTCTCTAAAACTGGGCAGTTAGATCCCAGTTCTAAGTAAGTAAGGCTTCATCAGATACCTGACATGCTTGCATGTACGGGGCGCAGCTGGCAGGAGCTGCATGGAAACTGACAATTTTCACTACTGTCATAGAGCAGGAAATCGCAGCGGCGACCCAAGCAGTCAATAAAGCTGTCTCTGAAGCTAAGGAAGCGGTGGAAGTAAACAAGACAAGCCCTGCAGAAGCAGCAGATTCGTTGAAGGCTGCAGTGGTATCATGCCTCAAGGTGAGCGCAAAAACCCACTTTCATTACTCCAGCATTTTACAGTCCACAGAGGCGCTGCATTTGTGCACAAGGCCAAACCCTAAAGACCTAGGTGGCTCTCTGTTGCCCTACTTGCAAAATCAGGACGGACGATCAAGGATACAAGAAGCTGGAGAGGAAGCTGAGCAAGCCATTGCTTCTGCGGAAGCCCAGGCTCTGTCACAGTGCCAATCATGGGGCGATGATTACGAATCAACCTTAAGGGATATGTATGATGTACGTTTTGGAAGATTCGTATGAAGAAGAATCCTCCCTGCCTCCCTGCTTCATACGAAGAATGCGTCTCCAGCAAATACACGTAGAGGGGCACAACGAAAACGGCAGTTTCCATCTGGCCGCTAATGCATTTTAAAGTCAAATAATCCTGATTTCTCTGGCCTTAGGCATTGATTGAGGCACAAAGTAATGCAATCAATTCCACATTTGCCACTGAGACAAGGCTTCTCACAACCTCTATGCAGACTACGAAGAATCAAATTTTGGAACAGACCCGAAACCGGTACAAAAAATCGCCGTTGCTCACTGTTCTTTCCAGAGCGTCACACTTCGTTGTTTTTGGTATAGTGTATCTTAACTGTAAAGTTTGCATCTGATAAAAAATGGGGGTGACAAATGGCTGTTTTTAGGTATAGCAAAATTGACGCTCTGAGGTGCTCCACCACCTTGGAAGAATTGCAGGTGATACTTGATGCAAGCATTTCCGAGATAAGCCGCAAAACGAGGCAACAGCTAATTGATGATGCTGTGAGAAAGGTGGGCTGCACAGTGGATACCTACTGAGTACCCGCACTTCGACGTTGTTGTGGCTTGTAAGCAGCACAAGGCTCACTTCATGGACCTACCTTAGCAAAAGCCACTGGGAGAGTAGAACTTTTCTTTTCTTGCAGTATTATTCCTCCTTGCATCAATTTAGTTGTAGCCTACGCAAAGATTACGGTGATCACAGTGTTAGCGGAGGAGTAGGGCTTCTAGAGGTGACGATTCTCCGGAGTGTGCTGTCCTGACTTGCTTTCACTTGAACAGGTCTCGAACGAAGTAAACCACCTTCGAGATGAAGAATTGGAGTCGACAGCATCTACGCTTAGCCGAATCATAGCTACGAGGACAGAGTGCTTTCACAAGAGGCAGTCTGCGTTTAAGTCCCGCAAGCTCCTGATGCTCCAGTGGCAACAAGAGTTTGCGGCACAGTATGTATCGATGCAGGCGCAGGCTGCGGTTGCCTTGCTCCGCCGGGGACTTCGCATCCTCTCGGACCAGCTGAAAGTAAAGCAGCTGCACATTACAGAGTCTGCTGCAGCACCAGCCTTTAGTTCTGCATACCTCAGAATCACTTGAAGCTGGTACTTTGTTCTTAATGGTTGGTCAAGTGGCCTCAAGCTGATGCCTCAGACATACGTAACCTTCGAAATGCAGCTCTTTCACAATCTTCGATATGTCACAGGCTGCCAAGACATATGAAGGAACCGTCTTCGCAGGAGTGGCCAATTACGGAGTGGACATGGCTGTATGCTATGCATTAGCCTCCAGATGAAATCAGCCCAGGCGATGCAGTGATTGTCCTGGCGCAGTCGCCAGGGCTGCTTGCGTCAATATATAAACAGCAAACCTATTGGTGTTCTGGTGGTGTATGCTTTGCAATTCAGACATTTATCAAAGAAAACAAGAAGGACATCAGCGAATTGGCGGCTCTGCAGGAAGGGCTTAGGGCGCAGCAAAGTGCAGCGCTGACTAAATTAAGACAGCAGTTGCTCGCCTGCCTGCGAAACCAGAGGAAGGCGGCGTCAGATGAGCTCTGGGATCTGGAGCAGCGTGAACGAAACAGGATAGGCGAGGACCTTGAAGAACAAACGACGCAACTTCAGGAGGCATGCACTAAATTAGACGAGTAGGGTAAAGATAAGCGTCAAAATTGCACTAATACCTTTGCAAGCCACGAGCACTGACACTGTTGCCGCGTAATACCCTTGGCAAAAGCTCAACTATTCTGTTCACTGTGAATAACTCGGATGTAATTTGAATGGTTCTGAATTGCGCAGAGCAATCGCAAAAGAAGAAGCAGCTCGAGACGAGTACGACAAAGCCATACTAAACATGAGACAAGAGAATCAGAGAGGAATGATGCAGCTGGATGCCATTCAATCTCTATCTGACTTCAAGCAAAAGCTATTAAGCAAGATTAATGTATCATTTTTGTCACAGGCCGAAGAGGTAGGAAAAGATTCCCTGTATCCGATTCACTATATGTTCACACCTCTCCCAATGCTGGCAGTGCCAGCGCCTAAGATTCTTCATTCTCTCTAATAGCAATACCAATGGTGCGGCGTTTTGCTAATTTTTGAAAAAGTGGCCATCAGCATTTTGGGGCTCAGGCGAGGAGCAAAGGCATCGACGATCCCAACGTAGATGAGAAGCTTTTGGTAAGGAATAGTGCGCTCTTTTTAGATGCCTGCGTTTTCTGGGTTTCGGCCACAATGCTGCAAGGAGCCCTTTTTGCATACTGACACTTTGGTGGAAGGACTGTGCAGTTCACCATTTGCGGCTTGGAGCTTTGCTGGCCCCTGTTCAGCCTTCAACTGCAGAGGCCGTAAAGGCCATAGATGAACTGTGGCTGATGCTGCTTCTCTGCTGTGCGGCGACCCTTAGCAAGAATGGAAAAACGCAACTGCTGAGTTGGAGCCGTTCATTAACCGTGAGAAGGAGGTGTTCAGGCGCTACACCGATTCGGCTAGCAAGATACAAAAGGAGAATGCCCTTAGATCATTCGAGGAGTCCAGAGAAAGCCGGCGGAACCAGGCTGCCCTCACGAGATCGTTGGTGAGTCGCTAGTAAAAACTGAAGCAAAAATCCGGAGAAAAATGAGAAAAAGACGCGCTTTGGGCTTCAGAGCCGTTGCCCTATTATTAGATTAATACTATGGGAACTTAGGCGCGCCTTGATTCAAGCAGTTCCCCTCCACGTTGAGTGCACAACTTAGTGGTATTTAGGGATACAACACGCCTTCTCCAAAATGCAGGCGTCTGTTGTCTTATCTGTTGCTGTTCCTCTTTCTTCAAAGCCCTCAAATGCATCTTGTGGCATGAGAGCCCGTTTGGGCGCTGCTCTGTTAGCAGATTCAGCTCTGTTCACGCCTGATATTTGACGCAGGAGCAAGCTGAAGAGGAGGGAGATGAAGAGCTGCGGCGCAAACGCTACGCATTGGGAACGCGCGAAGTTCAGCGGATTGTATGGCATATTTGTGCGCTTCTGTCCTCCGGGAAGCGTGGCTCGTCGGAAGTTGAAGGGCTGCATCTCATTGTCCCGGAAGATAAAATTGAGGAAACAGTCAACGAGCTGCAGCAGCAGTTGCGCCGTCGTCGCCAGAGTCACCTGGAGTACTGCTTGGCACAACGCAGTATCACGGAAGGAACTTCAAAAACTGAGCTCGCCATTCTTCAGACCGAATCACTTTTGGGGCCATCGGACCTCACAGATACCACTGAAGGAATCAGCAGGTGAGTCTCGTTGAAGTGAGTTTGGGAGGCAGCTGAGCTACCAATTACTTCGCTCCGCCGTAGTCCTGAGATCGGCCCATCGCATTTGTCTGCAACGCGTTCCCTTACTTCAGGGGTTCCGCCATGGTGAACGCAGCTGACGCGTCAGGCGCAATTTTGGAGGTCATAAAGGAGGCCCAGAAGAAGCTCGATGAGGCCCTGGATGAAATTCAGAAAGAACAAGAGGTGAAGTGGTGAAGTTTACTAGGATTGGTCTAAGCACATGTTACACTGTTCAGTGCGACTTGAGGGTTTAAACCTGGTTTAGGTTGCAAGTGCTGACGTGCTGCCGATAAATCGATTTGCTGCCTTCAGGAGGCAGAAGAACGTGAGAGAGTCGAGCACGAGGAAGAAATATCCCGACGCAGAATGGCCCACGAGCTAGCAAAACAAAAACTCAATGAAGAGCACGCAGCGAAGCTGGCTGAAGCTCCCGAAGACATAAGAGAGCAGCTAATCAAAGGTACAATGAGGATTACAGTTCCTGTGGGAAGAAAGTCGTACCCTGCAGGTGGTAAATGATTTCTTGCGGAAGAGTCTGGAACAAATAAGTTTAAGCTTTACGGGTGCGACTGAATTGGAGCCTGGTTCTGCGCCGCAGAGCATGAAGCTGCGCTTAGCCAAATGGAAGCTGCACTCCAGTCGGATTTAGAAGCACAGGAAAAGGAAACCCAACGCAGGCTTGAGGAACGTCGTCAGCGTTTGCAGAAAAAGCGGAAACAAGCGGAAGAAGAAAAGCAGAAAGCCATCGACGCAGCCAAGGCCGAGCTTGAAGCTAAAATCGCGGCTGAAGCAAAACAGGTGAGAAATAAGAATCCCTAAACCTGTAGTCAGGAATACCAAATCCGTCCTCGCGTGCAAACGCACGAGTAGTTTGGCGCTGCGCTGGTCATGGCTCTCCCTGCAGAAAGAAGATGCAGCAGAATTGGAAGAAATGCAACGTTTAATCAACGAGAGCACCAACGCCGCTGCTGTTGCCGAGGTGGGCATGCAGCATTGCCTGTTTTTCTCAGCAACTCTCTTTCAGAAACATTGCAGAGGTGGCAGAAGGTCGAATTATTGAACTTGGCCAAAATGACGTTTCAAAAGGAAGGCTCTGGGTGTTGTTGCAGCTGCTAGCTCGGAAGCACAACAAAGAGTCTTCTGCACTCCTTCAAGAGCTCTCTCTGAAAAAGGCAGAAGCAATAAGTGCACTGACTGAAAACTTTTGGAAGGAAAAGGGCGGGAGAACGTACGTAGAGGCACAGCCGTCTAGTGTTTTCCGTTGAGCTAGCACTACTTATCTGTTGAGAACTAGACATGCAAATGGTCACTAGCTTTCAGCTTTGGATCTGTTTCAGAGTTGATGGGCGGCCTGATGATGTGCAAGGACTTTACAAGGTGAGATCTACCACAGGAAAAAAGTTGCAAACGTAACATAGATCCGTTATACAAGCCGGTGCACGGAGGGAAACAAGTGAATCAGGGAAAGAAATTCTGCCCGTACTACACTGAATCCTGAATTTTGGAATCAAGGCCTTTTTATGAGGTATTCATTTACCTTCAGGCCGAGTTGCAGGAAAAACTGTTGACAGAAACACAGGCGGTAAGGGCCGTTCTCCAAAATTTGACTCTGTCAAGCTGACATTTTGATGCTTCAACATTAATTTTGGGATGGGTTCTACTACATAAACTTATATAAAGAATGCTTTAAATTTTCAAGCATGTCACTCGCTCCCTAATGGTCTTTACCGAGCATCGATCGGAGAAATGGCCTTGCGGCAAATAAACTGGGTTGTGTCGATTTCAGATGGATGATCGCATAAGGCTTCAGCTGCAGGAACTGCAGCATCGACAAGTTACAGAATTGGATGAGTCCATGAAACAAATGGAATGCAGGGCAAAGCTGAAGAGGGAAAATGAGGCGGTCGGTTGGAGCACTAACGAGAGAAAACAAATCCACGATTTGGAATTGCCAACTGGAAGGCTTGGCCAGTTACGCTACTGCTGAATCTTTGGCATTAAGGCGAAGTGGTCTGGCGTTTAGGAACAGTAATGTGATAGGCTATTTTAAGATGCCATGTTTGTTAGCCACATGCTGCGCGCAGCAACGTCTGTCCGAAGAAGAGCAGTACGCTCAGTTGAAAAAAGAAGCTGACGCTGCAGCAGCTGAGGAAGTCGGAGCGATTGAAGAGCGCATGAAAGAAGAGCAGGAGAAGATTCTGAAAGAAATGGAGGCAAAAAGGAATGCGTATGACAAGATGCTGGACAAGCTGAAGCACCGCAAAGAACTAGAAGAGAGGCGTGAAGCGCTACGCCAAGATCAACAGCAACGGCTCAAGGCAGAGGGAAAAGGCGGTGGCTTGCAGTCACTCATGGAGCAGTACGAAGAACACAGAAAGCTGCTTGAAGAAGCATTAGCCGAAGAAGCTGAAAGACAACACAAAAAGGCAAGAGAACGAACCCTTCTTCGGCAAGTTGAGAGAACAGAGAGACTGCACCAGAAGCGCGTTGTAGAGAAACAACGGTTCCTCCTGAACCAAGAAGAAATCAAGCGGCAAGAACTTGCACTTGTGAGGGCCTCTATGCACTTCGACTGCACACAATATCTCACATCAAGAACTCAGGGTGGACCAGACAGGTCTAAGCAACTTATAATTTGCGAAAACTCTCCAGTGCGCCGACTAACCGACTCCTGGAGTCCTGAATTTGCTGCCAAACCAATCACCTTTTGCTTTGCTTTTGCTGCCGCTACTATGTTGTTTCGTGCAACTCTAGAACAACGCACGAGCAGGCGCGCAGAGCAGAAGGAACTTGGTGGAAACTTTGAATCAACAAGAGCTGAAGAGAAGGTATACCCACGTTTTCATGACAGCAAGCTAGTAGCCACTTTGAATGCTGAATATTGAATCAACATGACTAGTGTTTTCACAAATCCATTTAATAGCCCCCAGATGTGAACATGTTTGCTGAGGTTGGCGAGCTGCGTATTGGCCAGCTCGAGCTTTCCGTGATTCGTAACGTCCGCAAATGAGAAGGCGAAATGCACATTGGTTTGCAGAATGGAATTTGCTCATCGGCTGGAGGAAGAGAAGCACTGGGCTCCGATCTGGCGAGAAATAGTGGAGGAAGAGCAGAACGCGGGCACCTTTGATGCTTGGGACCTTGACGACGAGCAAGTTACATGTGCGTTTCTGCGGAGTTCAACCCCTCTGCCGAAGAACAAAGCCCAAAAGCAGACTCTATTGCAACACATGGTTATTTGTCAAGCAAAATAACGGGATAAATTCATGACACTTTCTCGCTTTCAACTACTTTGCGTGCAGTCGCCGGCCAGTTCGCCACGAACTTGCTGCACACCGAGCGCATGCTGCAGAGTGAAGCTTCTTACATGCGGAAGTTGATTGGAGGCTTCCAACAACTAAGCGACGTCATATCTTTGATCAAGGCGGCCCCAGAAGACGGCGAAGAGGATGGCCAGAAGAGGGGCAGCAGCAAATCGTCCAGCAGTAGCGGCAGCAGCAGCAGCAGCAGCTCTTCAAGTGCAGCGGAAAGCTCAGAAAGCACAGAGAGTGACAACTCAGGCTCTAGCAGCGAAGAAAGCAGCTCAGAATCGGAAAGCGACGACAGTGAGTCTGACTCTGAAGAGGCATCATCTTCAAGTTCAAGCGAAGAGGAGTCCAGCAGCCCTGCAGCTTCCTCCAGCAGCGACGAGGCTTCGTCTTCTCCAGATAGCAGCAGCAGCAGCTCGAGCAGCTCCGGCGGCAGCAGCGACAATAGCAGCAAAGACGAGAGCTCCAGCAGCTCAGAAGACGAGAGCAGCTGAGCTTATGCCTAGCCAAATCGTAAGACAAGCTCGCCTGCTGCCTTCTTGCCGCCACTCCCTGTTCACCTGTCCAAGTAGATCATCTCCAGCTTGCAGTTTCCCCCTGCTTTAGCTCGCTGTCCTTCGAGCTTGTTGCCTATGTCCAAGAGGCGGCAAAAACAGAGTTATGCCTTGGCCGTGGGTTCGCCTGCGAGGCCGTTTTGCTTCAGACTCTCATTGCAGCAGTGCTGCAGGATGCCTTTCGATGTGTAGCTCTTTATATTCAGCAACAAGCCAGGCACTTTCTTCAGACTCTTAATTTGAATTTGTTTTGAGCAGCTCTGGTGGTGATGCATGCACACGGCGAATCATGGCGTAGGCGGGTACAGAGAATATTTCAGAGTGAAGACATGCACATATGCGCATTATCGACTATATATACGCAGGGCGACACTCTAGATGTGTAACACCAAAATAAACTGCAAGAATCAGCTGCAACTTGAAGACATAGGTTACTTTAAACCCTAAGCTTCACTTTCTGAGCCAGTCTTCCAGTTAGTGGCCAGCTACAGAAGTACAGAGCACTAAGGTAGGGTAGTAGCGTCAGAACTCAAATTGTTGCGCGTTTGTCGGCGCTAAATATATTTCCAGATGAAACGGGAGCATTTTCTGTGTCGAAAAACTGTTTTTTTACTGCTAACTGTGGGAGCATTCCCCGTGTTCAACAAGACTGACCACGCAAGTAACGTGTGGGCCACTTGGCGTGGCTGTTCTGACGCGCATAGACAACTTCGCATTCCCTTTCTAGCTGCTTAGGACTCGAGCTTTGGTAACCACAGCGGCTTAATTTCGATAGTCAGTGAAAAAAAGCCCAGATATTTGAAGCCGTCAATGTTCGAGTTGTGTTGAGATCAATTCTGCACTGCCTAACTAGGGAGGGTCGAACACCCAGGTGTTTAGAGTGGCTAAGTCTATCAACAAACGCCTGCATGCATTTGTAACCAGTGCATGCAAATCTAAAATCAACACCAGTCACACTTTGGCGGCTAGTGTTCAACAGCAGCAAGAGCTGTTCACATGTTTCCGCTGCCGCAGTCGTGGGAGCTGTTAGGTACATGGTGATTGAGCTAAAAGTCAAGCTACAGCCCTTTCTACTTATTAGAAAATAAGAAAGGTGCGGCATTTGGCACACTTAATTTTAAGGGAATTAACGGCCAGCAATCCACTGCACAGTGCAGAATAGTGCGCGATCACAGACGCCCCGGAGCAGCGCAGGACCCTCGTGCGATCTCTGAAATGGGGTGTCTATACGCATTGTTAGCCGCTGTAACATTAAAAAATAGTTCCAAATGCTACTATACACTTTGTTCTTTGAAAAATATAGAATAGATCAGCATGGAAATGGATTCAGTAGCGGGACAAGCGCAGTGTGCGAAAAAACCAGAGTAACGGCTTGCCCGCAACACCCCTCGTTAACAATCTCCACGAAAAATAATACCTGATTTTCAGGAAACAGAGATTGAAAATAATGCAGAAGAAAGGCTTTGGCGCACAACCGGCGAGCAACAGTACTGGCGTGTTACTTGGCCCCGAGCTCCCACCAGCCCTACCGATCTGGGCGAGAGTGGCCAAGGCTTCAAACCAGCTTTCGGATGCATTTCTAGCCTTACCATTTCTGAATTGCAGAAATTTCAGGTTAATATGGGCTGTCTAGTGCTGGAAGTGATGGCGGGGTGCCAGTGACTGCTGCCGGGAGCAGCAGAACCCCCCGTGAAACACCCACATCCACCACTGTGCAGCTCTTCGGAAAGGACTCCGTTTCGCGCGAAAGAAGCAAAGTTTAGGGTGTTTAGTTTGTGCCAGATTTGCTGGCTTTCGCCCGCGGCGGATCACTGCAAGAAGATGGCGCTGCAGGAATTCACCGTCGACCTCATTCAACAAGTCATACCCTTTCGTTCCCCCAACCCCCTCGAAGACCCCCGGGAGCACCGGCTCCGCCTGGTACGGCTTCGGTGGTTCTACACAGACTAAACTCGAGTCAAAGCAAGCAGCTAGCTGCCTGCAAGTTGCCTTTCTGGCCCCCTGGCCAGCCCATTACTAGCAGCTACGGGGTGTTCTCTTCCCGAATGTTTCGAATCCGCAGCGGATCAACTAGCAGAAAGACTCGCTAAAAGCTGCGCAGATAGGCCAGCAGCACTTGCTGCAGCTGATGGCGTGCGGAGCTGCTGCTGCAGCGCCTTTGTGCTGCAGGTCGAGCGGCTAGGCGGCGGCACCTACGGCGATGTGTACCGCGCCGTGGAGGAGCCAGAAGACGGCGTCGGAGGGGGCGAGACTTTTGCAGTTAAATATTATGTTGACGAAACGAGAACTGCAACAGAAGACGGTTTGGGCTGCACAACGATTCGCGAGCTTTCCACGATTTCCGTAAGCTGAGTTGCGCGCGGGCGTTCAGGTGTACGTACACCTCCACCACCGCGAGATCGCAGCGCTGCGCGTCACTTTTGTTATTCTGCGTTTTCAGTCCTGCGGCACCCACCCGAACCTGGTTCGCATGCGGTATCTTTTCGTAGATCAGCTTCCGCGTTTGGTCGAAAACATTAATCAGCAACGAATTCAGTGGGCACGGCAGCAGCACGCGGCTGCGGACCGCGAAAGCCAGGAGCAGCTGCGCCGGGACCTGCAGACGCAGCTGGCTCAAGAGGAGTTGAAGCCCACGCAAGTCTTCGTGTTCGCCGCCTACGAACTCTGCGAGGGAGGAGATCTCAAGAAACTTCTTGCAAAACAAAGGGAAAATAAACCTTCTTCGAGCGTTTCGCCCGAGTGGGGGCTGCCGCTGCGCCACGCCAAACTTCTTGCATTTCAACTTTTGAACGGACTGGCGTTTCTGCACAACGAGAAAGTCCGGCGCCCGCGGCCAGCAGCAGCCAGACACAGAAAGCACAGAAGAAACAGCAGCTATAAATCTGAAATTAATTATTGTCTTCGATTCAAAATAATTTACTTCCACTAAACAAGTGCAAACTTGCAAATCCGCCGCTGCCGCTGTCCGCACCGTCGCACTCGCAGTGCCTCTTGTGCCCGTTTCGCTGTTCATATGTACAATTCATATTTATGTCTGTGAATATGCACAATTTATATTCATATATATATATACTTGCAACGAGTCGCCAAGTTTCTTTATTTCATTTAAATGACTTCTTTTTGCTTTTTTCCCAGCTCTGCCACCGAGACCTCAAGCCCGACAACTTGATGCTGACTTCCGAAAACGAAAACTGCGTGCTCAAGATCGGCGACTTGGGGCTCTGCAGGAGTTTCAGAGCGAACGCAGGTGGGGCTTTGCTGCGGCTGCCGTTTGTGCGCTTCTGCTGTACGCATGGACCTGTTGCTGCTGCTGCTGCTGCTGCTGCTGTTGCTGCGGATGCGCGGGCGGTTCTGGGCAGAATGGTTTAGTTAGTTTCTGTGGTTCTTTTTCGCTGCTGCAAGTTGCAGCAGCTCTGCGTCGCCTGCGAAGCAGCTGGACTTATCTGAGTGTCCAGAAGCAGCAGCAAATTGTGTTTTTTTTCTGTTTTTTTTTGCTGCTGCAGGGGAAATAACACCCACTGTCTGCACCATTTACTACCGGCCGCTGGAGGTGCTGCTGGGCCGCATGAAGGGCGACGGCGAGGGCGGGAGCGAAGTGGGTGTGGCTGTCTCGTGTCAGTGTTGCTGCTGCAGCGGAGCAGCAGCACTGTTTGGGTTGTTTTTTTGTGATTTTGCGGTGTTTTTGGAGCGTTTTTCGAGCTGCTGCTGCTGCTGCTGCATGCATGCAAAAGCTTTGCAAGTGCAGCAAAACTGCAGAGAAAGCCGCCGTTTATTCCCCAAGATCGCGCAGTGCGGCGCCTGCAGGAGCCCGGAGCGCACTACGGCCTCGGCGCAGACATCTGGGGAGCCGGCTGCATCATTGCAGAAATGTTTCGCGGAATTCCTTTATTTAAAGGAACTCAAGAGTTCGAAGTTTTGATTCGCGTCACCAAAATCTTGGGAACTCCCACCGAGGCCGAGTGGACCAACTGCACTGCGTCCGTCGAGGGTTTAGGGTTTAGGGTTTAGGGTTTCGGGTGTCGGTTTCGGCGCGCGGCGCCGGAGCGGTTTCTGGTCTCCGCCCGAGGGTTTAGGGTTTGCGGTTCACGGGTGGGGGCTGCGGTTTAGGGTTTAGGGTTTGGGGTTGGGCTGTCGAGGGAGGGTTTCAAAGGATGTTGACGCGCAAGGGTTTAGGGTTTGTTTGCTTGAGGGTTTAGGGTTTGTTTGGGCGAGGCTTTAGGGTTTCTTTGGGCGAGGATTCAGGGTTTAGTTGCGCGCGGGTTTAGGGTTTGGCGCTGCGCAGCGGGAGCGTGCCTGTTGCTGCGCCGGGGCACGTCGGGGGCGCGGCTCAGGGCTGAGGGTTTAGGGTTTAGGGTTTAGGGTTTGGCGCAGGCTGCAGCACTACCCGTTTGGAAACCGCGGGGAAAGCCACTACTTCAGCGAACACGACAAAAGGGCCAACTTGAATGCAGTTCTTTTTGGCAAGTTGGATCTCGATGGACTGGACTTGCTTTCCAGAATGCTGGACTACAACCCCCACACGCGCATCTCCGCGCAGGAAGCCCTCAGCCACCAGTGGTCCCAAACCCTAAACCCTAAACCCTCGGCGCGCGCCAAACCCCGCACCTGCAGCACGCACGGAACACTTGACCCGCAACACGCCCGAAACCCTAAACCCGCCACACGCCCCAAACCCTGAACCCTCAGCACGCACGGAACCCTAAACCCTCAACACGGCCTAAACCCTAAACCCTCGCCGAACTCTAAACCCTCTTGGAGGCAGCTCCCCGAAACCCGAAAACCCTAAACCCTAAATCCTCGCCACACCCCAAACCCTCCCCTACCCAGCTCGAAACCCTGCAGCCACAGGCCCTAAACCCTTAAGCCCTTTCCAAACAACAAACCCTAAACCCTAGTTAGGCTCCCAGCGCTCCTTAGGTGTTCCCCAAACCCTAAACCTAGGAAGCACCAAACCCTGGGCGAACCGTCTCAAAACCCTAAACCCTCGTGAGGCGCCGAAACCTCGCCGCGCCGCAAACCCTCGCCAAACCCCTCCGCTGCTGCTGCAACCGCCGCCGCCGCTGCTGCTGCTGCTGCTGCTGCTGCTCAGGTTCACAGATGTTTCTTTTGGACTTCTGGACGGGCTGGGGGTTTACAACTGGTTTGTAGATGTTTTGAAGTTTCGGCTCGGCGAGAAAACGTTTGCTGCGATGGAGCGGCACACTCCCGGGTGTCTGTACACCTCAAAAATTGCACACATTCTTTGCCAAAGAGGATACAGAGGAGCAGCAGTTCAAAGAATCGACAGAGTTTTTGCGGAGATCGGGGGTTTCCAGGAGCCCGAACAGAGCCACCACTGGAAGCAAGGCACGCTCCCCTGCTGCTCCTGCTGCTGCTGCTGTCGTTGCTGCTGCTGTTGCTGCTGCTGCTGCTGTTGTTGCTGCTGGTGCTGTTGTTGCTGCTGGTGCTGTTGTTGCTGCTGCTGTTGCTGCTGCTGCTGTTGTTGTTGCTGCTGCTGTTGTTGCTGCTGCTGTTGTTGCTGCTGCTGTTGCTGCTGCTGCGGCAGCAGCGGGCGGTTCTGCGGCCGCTGCTGGTGCTGCTGTGGTGGCGGTGGCGGTGGCGGCCGCGGGTGGTTCTGCTGCTGCTGCTGTCATGCTGCTGTTGCTGCTGCTGCTGCTGTTGCTGCTGTTGCGGCGGATGCTCTGGGGAGAGGCACGCTGCTGGTGTCTTGCGAGGACTGCTGCTGTTGCGCTAGTGCAGCTGCTGCTCCCACTGCTAGCTGCCCCTGTTTCTGCTGCTGCAGCCAGCAGCCTCGCCGCTCTCCCTCTAAACCCTATTCCCCCCTCGCTGCTGCTGCTGCTGCTGCTGCTCAGTGGTTGCTGCAGAGAAGCTCGCAAGGGCCCGGAGGCAGCGAAAGCAGGCCAAAGAGCAACAAGAGAACTCAGGGGCCCCCAATGCAGCAGCAGCTTCTATGGAGGCCCCTCTGGGAGCCCCCATGGGGGCCCCCGCGGGGAGGGGCCCCGGGGGGCCCCCTGGGGGGGCCCCCAAGGGGGCCCCTGGGGGGCCCCCACCCCAGGGCGAACAAGAAAATACCCCCAATAGGCCCAACAGCAACTTGCGGGGGGCCCCCTACCCTGCTAGCCGGGGGGCCCCCCTTTTTGGATGTGAAGAGGGTTTAGTTTGTGCTGCGAGGCCCATGAGGAGGGCCCCCCACTCTGTGGGGGCTGGCGGG